CTGTGGAAGTAGATTGCAAGGAATGGCTGGTGGGTCAAATCCACCAGCCTTCTGGTTAACAGTCAAATGACTTTAGGCACTATGCCACCAGAACTCCCAGAAGAGGCTCTGGTAAACCCACAGGGTCTCTGTTCAGCTTATCTTGTGAGATTCTTTAAAAAAAAAAAAAAAAGAGCCAGTGGTTTCCTCTGTGGAGAAGGATACACTTGGGCCAGTAGGTACTTTATCAGTGCCTTAGAGGCATTCTGTAAGTAGGTGGTGGCATAGTACCTAATGGATTTGACTGCTAACCAGAAAAGGGTTTGAACCACCAGCCACCTCTTGGAAGGAAGATTGGGCAATCTACTTCTGTAGCGATACTGCTTCAGAAACCCAAGAAGAGGTCTCTGTGAGTCAGATCCAACTCAATGGCAGTGAGGTTTTTTTTTTTTCCTTAACCTAGGAAGTCAATGAACCAAAAAGCCAAACGCACTGCCATCAAGTTGATTCTGACTCATAGTGACCCCTATTGAGTTTCCAAGATTGTAAATCTTTAAGGAAGCAAACTGCCCCATCTTTCTTCTGTGCAGTACGGGTTTGAACCACCCACCTTTCGGTTAGCAGTCAAATGCCTCAACCACTGCATCACCAGACCTCCTGAGGAAGTAGATACATGGGTGTTGAGAATTTATGCATTCTGTACTCTTCTATATGTGTAGTATTTTGAAATAAGCTTAAATACCCCTATGAAAGTGATCAATGCGTGGTCAAGATGGGGGTTTGGGGAAAGGTGAAGCAGAAAAGACTATTAGTGCTGTGGGCTTTTTAAATCACATACACATATTGCTTTGATAAAATCAAACTGCTGTGTTAGAAACTGGAGAAACAAAGATTGTTCTCAAGGCTCTTGCCTTTGAGCTTTTCTAAATGTGGCAAGAGTCCATGATTAACTATGATAAGTCTTATGAGATTTATCAAGTACCTACAGTAGAGTACTTCAGGATTATAGAAGGAGCATTGATATTTTTTCTAGTCAACAACACTGACAGAAGATTATAGGTGAGTATATTTGTAAATCAGGCCTTGAAAAATGAGGAGGACTTGAACAATAGAACAAAGAACAAGAAAGGGCATTTGAGGGGAAGAAAGCACAACGAGCATGGCCACATGAGTGTGAAAGTGCAGGCAAGGGATCCAGAGGGAACCAAGGGCTGCGCATTCTGCACATTGCATAGGGGTGGCATTCACAGTGTTGCTCAGTGTGTGACCTGCGGGATCATCCACAGTAACCATAGGTGAAGGGAATGGCTAGGACTTATAAAAGCAGCCAAAAATACACGGTATTAGGTGGGAAATGGACTATGAAAGGGAAAGATTATTGAACTGTAAACATAATTTAGTAGGCTAGTATTGACATACTACAAATTTGTCATTTCAGCATTAAATCATATCAACTGTACTCAATAAATAATGACACGTGCCTTTATGATAGGCAACAAACATGACTACAGCTTTAAGTTGGTTTATTTCACACTAATTATCATTTCTTACGGCCTTGAGGCTATGGAAAGAATTTTGACAAGTCATTAAATCATCATTGACAAATATTTCTTTATTAGCAATTAAGTATTTTCACTAGAGACCACAGAAGGATATTAAAGTAACCTAATTCTAAAACAGAAAATTAAACTTCACTGTAAGGATTTAAGTTTTTCAAGAGTTTCCCCAAAAAGAAAAATTGAAATTTAAAAGTTTTCTCAAATTTGGCTTTCCTTCCCCCAAGGGGAGAGAATGGCAAGTCTATAATTTTTAAGTTTTCTGATAACCTAAACGAAATACACACTTTTCCAGGACTACCTGGAATGACAATTGTATGTAAAAGTATTGCCACATGGTCATAGCACCGGCATATGTGTCTCTGATCCCTGGGGCACCAAGTGAAGACTAATAATGCTTAACTTTTCATGCCGGGTTTCCCAGATTGGGTCCTCAGACACTGTACAGAATTGTTAAACATTTCCTATGAGACCTGTGAATGGTCAGTGTTGAGAACACTGGTTCAGAGGATGATTCTTAAGGTCAGTGGGTGTGATGGGGTGGGAATGGCAAGGGGGAAACATGCACGTAGTTTGAAAAAGCACATTTAAAATGCCTATTAATTTAATAATACAATTGTCATATGGCAAGATCAGAGAAATAATTTCAGCTGATGGGCAGTCAGACTCATCCTGGGGGGCCAGGGACAAACATGTCACTGGCTCTAGAGGTAGAGAAGTACTGGCACCTGGAGAACAGTTAAGAGGAAAAACATGCCAAAAAAGGAGGACACCTTTTGGTTGGTGAGTGAATCCTAAACTAGAACTCAGTCTGGTTTTCTGAAACCCAAAGACCAACCCAGAGGAAACCCAAGAACATACGTTAACCTCTTGGCCCTGTGTTTTGGAGCAAGTTGGTCCATTTAAAAAATATTGATCCAAAAGGAAAAAAAGTAGTTTTTGCCAAATATCACCCCCCAACTTTCTTTTGGTAACATAATTCAGAATTTCAAGTAGACAGTTGCTGTAGCTGGGAAAGAACAGCCCCACGTCCATCCACCAGGAAGTGCTGTCATCATTTGTGATGTTATCCAGCTCCCAAGGGGATATCAGGGCAAGGTCCACTCTGTCAGGAAAGAAACAGAATTAGATGTTCTTGAAAGGCAGATTTCCCCCCTTTTCCTTTTCATTATAGAACAGTTACTCTTGCTGTTTGACACAATTTATTGCATGTGGCCTTGAGACGTAGTTGCCAGCAAAATACTGACAGGATATAATGCGAAAGGGCACACACACAAAGCCAGTTGCCATGGAGCTGATTCTGACTCAGGGCGGCCCTGTGTCAGACAGCAGAACTGTGCTCCACAGGGTTCTCACTGTCTGGTTTTGAGGATGTAGATCTCCAGGCCTTTCTTCCAAGGTGCCTCCTGGTGGGCTCATACCTCCAACCATTTGGTTAGCAGCTGACCATCTGTCTGCACCACCCAGGGACTCAATTGAAGGAAAAGGAGAAGGCAAATAAGTAGAACTTATGAATGTGGGTGATGCTAACACCCAATAGGTAACTGGGGAAACATTTCCCCTCATCCCAGGAAAAGTGATTCACTTTTTCCCATTCGTAATCTAAACCTAAATTGCTCAAAGAAGTCCAGAATAGGGAAAATTTGGCATAGCAGTTAATTGGGTTTTGAGTGATTTAGCACATGGGGTGATGCCAGAAAGCTAACCCAAAAGAGTGTCCGCCTGCTGTGATGATGTTGTAGAACTGTGATTAGGTTTATAATAGTCACTTTATTTCAGGGATTGTATTTTATTTCAGGACTCATTCTTTTTCCCCCTAATCTGTTTTAAAACATCTGTTGTTATTTTGAGTAAGCATCACAAACTATGTGCACTCATTGCTGAAAGGTTAAGTTAACATTAATTATTGGGCAATAGATACTCCTCAAAGAACATTTTGATTAATGAACCATAAATTTATTCCTTACCATCAAAGCCCTGAACTTCTCTGCACATGATGTCAGTGGAACTGGTCTACTTAGAAGCTTCTGTTGTTGTTATGTGCCATCAAGCCAGACCCGACTCATAGTTATCCCTCCTTGGGTTTCTGAGGCAGTATCACTACAGAAGTAGATTGCCCCATCTTTCTTCCGAGGAGTGGCTGGTGGGTTTGAACCACCAGCCTTGTGGTTAGCAGTCAAGTGCCTTAGCCACTATGCTGGCACTAAATAGTGCTGGAGAGCAAGGGGCTGGGGGAGGTCATTAGACTTCAGTTCTGTCTTCATTCCTTCAAAAGAGTCCATCACCTACAGTTTTCCATTCAGCCAATGATCTCCTTTAGGTTAGTAATTTTAGTAAATTTTTGTTTTAACATTTGGGGAGCCACACAGATTGGGGTGATTTTACATGTACATACAGGTAAAGCAAAAGTACCTTTATTTTTCCATTGCACTTAAGAGGAATCCCGATTGCTTATCATAGACTACAAGGCCTGGGTGCTCTGGCCTCTGCCCACTGTTCCTCTTCACTGAACTTTGCTTGATCTGCTCTTGCTTGCTTGCTTTTCCTTGAACATCTCGTACTTGTTTACCACCTTAGGCCTTCGCACTTGCTGTTCCCTCTGCCTAGGAAGCTCTTCTGCTTTGTGTTTACTTGGCTGCCTCCTTCTTGTCAACCAGGTCTCAGTTCACCAGTGAGAAAGGCTCTCCATCATCTTTGCTAAATGTGCTCCGTGATTCCTTCCATATTCTATCACATAATTCTATTTTTTCAGGAATTATTTGCTTATTTATTTTTGATCTGTCAACCTCTCTAGAATGTAAGTTCCAAGGTTTTTTTGTTTTCTCATTACTGTATCCCCAGTGCTTGGCATATACTGTTTGTTGTTGTGATGTGCCCTCGAGTCAGACCTGACCCACAGCGATCCCTCCTTGGGTTTCTGAGGCAATATCACTTCGGAAGTAGACTGTCTCATCTTCCTTCCGAGGAGTGGCTGGTGGATTTGAATCGCCAGCCTTCTGGTCAGCAGTCAAGTGCCTTGGGCACTATGTAGGTGCCCAATAAATATTTGTTCAATGAACGTTAAAGGAAAAGACTTCTCCCACTGACACAATCAATCCCTTTGTAAAATGCAAAATTCATAAATGACTGATGTCACTGTTTCCTAGCCAGAATACCTTCTTGGAGTATAATTAAACATGGCAGCAGAATTCCACTGTCTCCTACTATTGCTGGCCCCATGTCCCATCTGTTACCTACCTATCCTACTCATTGCTGTTGAGTCAATTACAACTCACAGTTGACCCTGAAGGACAGAGTAGAACTACCTCATAGGGTTTCTAAGGCTGTAAATCTTTATAGAAGCAGACTGTCAGATCTTTCTCCCAGAGCAGCTGGTGAGTTTGAACTACTAACCTTTCAGTTAGCAGCCAAGTGATTAACCATTGTGCTGCCAGGGCTCCTTCCCACTTGTTACTCACCTGTAAATTATTGTAGAACTCCCATCTCCTCTAGACGCTTCAACAGCTCCCCATTCTTTTGCATAGTTATTAGATCGGAGCAGCCACCTATACAGTCAGTACCCATAAAAACCCGAGGCACCTAGAAAAACAAACCAACCAGGATATTTAAAGAATGTAATTATTAGTAGATTAGAAAGAAAGATTTTCCCCATAACCCCTGGGCCGGGCTCCCTGCGTAAGGACAAAAGAGCCAAAGGGAGAGGCATAGGAAGTCCAGAAGGAGTTGGGAGGAACGACAACTTCCAGGTGGATTCCCTCCATGCTCTACTGGACAGACACTGCTAGTAGAAAGAATATTTTATCCTTCTTCAAATATTTTCTATGACCGGTAACTTTTCAAATCACTGTATAACCTCCTCACATGTACCTTCCTTTTGAAACAAATACTTACTGTTATAAGAGTAAAATTATTTGTTGAAGAATGTTTTTAAGCCAGCTTATTTTTCAAATTGAATGTACTGTGCATGAGATGGTCCAACTTGTCAAAGTGATTTAGAAATCTCACTCTAAAACAAGAAGTTTCTTTTTCTTTTCTTTTTTTTTAAATTGTGATTTGGGTGAAAATTTACTGAGAAAATTCACTCCATACAGCAAGGAACAAGTTTCTTGGAAAGAATTTTGGTTAGCTGCAGCTGGGCCACCCTGATTAAGTTGTGATTTCTCTGCTGCTGTGACCACACCTGAGCTATTAAGCTGAGGCACAGCAACCATGAATTCATTTCTAAATACAATGAGAAAAGTCCCTGTCCCTGATTTTTAGGTTTATAATTTATTGTCATGTCTTCAGTTGTTAAAACACAAATTATCTCTGTCTTCAACCAAGGCAACAGATGGTGGTCTCTGAATCTCATCCTTAATCCCTGGTTCATCATAAGATGTTTAATGCTACAGCTCTGGGACCAAGAACATTCATCTGCTCTGGCTTCATACCTGGCAAGGCAAGCCAGACTGATGCATGATTTCATCTGGTACGTGAGTTCATCTCCAAGTCACACTCAACCCTACCTCCCTGCTGCTGTGTACAGACTCATTGCAAAATGCCACAGGGCTTTTGGAATACTGAGGGAGGAGGAAGTCCCCTCATTGAAGGCCAATTTCTAGGCCCAGAGTGTTATACAAACACTAATAATCAGTGTAGAAATAAACAGTATAGAACACCTGACTAATCACAAGCAAGCAGTTTTCAACACTAGGAACATACCAGAAGGGGTGGGAGAGCTGAAAGACAAAAAGCAGTAAGAATATTTTTAAAGCTTTTAATTTTCCTCAGAAGGCTTAAATAATTCAAGTGAGTTTTTTAAAGAACAGAAGAGATGAGAAAAAGGGCTGAATTATTCCAAATAAGTTTCAATAATATTTTTATCAAGAAGGCAGCCCCAGTGAAAATGGGCTTTAAAAATAAAGACCAAAAATTAAAGAAATCCCCTATCAAACTTCCATGGCTACTTCCTATGCCCAAAGAGAGGGAAAGAACACCCAGGACTCAGTTCTGAAACTGTTTGTGTGTGGTAATGTCATGTTTAGTCACAGACATGCTGCCTCTCCCACCTATACCACCAGACTGTGGGAGGCTTTGCAAATGCAAAACACCATCAATGCATCGTTGCTTTTTTCAACTTGAACAGCTGTAGTTGAAGTCATTGTCTAACTAAATAAAAATCATCTGAACTTAAACAAGGAAGTTATTTATTCATTTCTGAATGTCCATATTTTCATAAAGAATTGAGCAATTGTCACTACACCTACTCCTCACTTATTGACTATCACATTATCCAGCATTTTGCATTATGACAATTTTTGTTGTTATTGTTAGGTGCCATTCTCAGCTCTGATTCATAGCAACCCTACGTACAACAGAATGAAACACTGCCCAGTCCTGTGCCAGCCTCACAATCCTTGCTATACCTGCGTCCGTAATTGTAGCCACTGTGTCGATCCATCTCGTTGAGGGCCTTCCCCTTTTTTGTTGACCCTCCACTTTACCAAGCATGATATCCTTCTCAAGGGAATGGTCTCTTCTGACAACATGGCCAAAGTAGGCCAGACAAAGTGACAATAGTAAAAAAAAGAAAACTGACTATTTTGAGCATTCATGATATACATCAGCTGTAATGAACACTGAGGCACCAGGTGAGAATAATGGCTGTGATGGTTAAGGTTATATGTCAACTTGGCTGGGCCATGATTCTCAGTGATTTGGCAGTTATATAATAATGTAATCTGGCAGTTTATGTAATGATGTAGTCATCCTCCATTTTCGCATAATGCCGATTTTCACATAATGACCTGCTCTTTGGAACTTAACCACGTTGATAAGTAGGGAATGGTTATACTTCTAAGGCCTGTCACATCTTCACTTTTGGCCAGGGTGTGGGAGGTTCAGCTCTCTCTACCTTTGAGTTAAGTTGTGGGTGAGGATGCTCTGAAGGGCAGAGTCCTCTGATCATCAATGGTTCTCAACCTTGAGCATGCATCAGCATCACCTGTGGACCTTAACATACAGATTTCTGTCCCCAACTCCCAACCTCCTAGAATTTGATTGAGTAGATCTGGGTTTGGGCCCAAGAATTTGCACTTCTGTCTAGTTCCCAGATGATGCTGAAGCTGCTCGTCCAGGGGGTCACACTTTGACAACCCCTGCTTTAGATTGTTATTGGGTGCCATAGAGTCGATTTCTACTTCTAGCAATCCCATGTGACAGAGTAGAACTGCTCCATTTGTTTTTCTTGGCTGTATTCTTTACAGAAGCAGATTGCCAGGTCTGTCTTCCACAGAGCCACTGAGTGATTTTGAACTGCCAACCTTTCAGTTAGCAGCCAAGTGTTTAACTGTTATGCCACCAGGGCTCCTTGGTTTAGATTAAGCAGCCATTTATTCCTCGCAGGGTAGCTGAGGTTTTAAAAACCCACAGCCTGATAGCCATCCCCAGCTGCCTGAGATAGGCCCTGAAACATAATCAGGCTGTCTCCAGGGCTGAGTTTTATGCACACCATCTGGCAAAGAAACTGGTTTTTGGAGAATGAAAGGTCCTCAAGCCCACACTCTAGGCTGAGGACAGCAAAACCACCTTAAAGCACACTGGTTTCCCTCACCTTAAGGGAGCTGAACAACAGGCTGTGTAGGACAGTACAGGGGCTGAATGATGAAACAGGAAACACAGAGGCCACAGAGGCACTGTTGATTCAGCTGGAGAAAGAAATATACCCCTTCACTACTACTTCCCATCCCCCACCCCCTGCGGAACTTGGGAGCTGGTTACTGTCAAAGACAGGAAACAGTACTGCCACCACAAACACACAAGTTGATTAGTATTGGAGCCCTTAGTCTCCTGGAGTAGATTCCCCTAGGCCCCAGCCTCAGCAGTGTCTTCTGCACTCCAGGGTTACTTACTTACTTACTTAAACTAGTTCCCAACATTTTTCACCACCTCCTTGGCTACCCCATGGCATAAGCTACTATCATCTCTCATCTGGATTAGTGCTATAACCTCCAGTGTCTCCCAGCTACCACCCTCACCCTGGCCCTCCTGTAGTCTCTTCTCCCTATGGCCACTGAAGTGACACTTTAAAAATGTAATCAGGTCAGGTCACTCCTTTGCTCAAAATGCTTTAGTGGCATCTCATCTCATACTGATTACAAGGCAAAGGTCTTACAGTAAGAGGACTTGAAGCACCTACTGATAAAGATCAAGGACTACAGTCTTCAGTATGAATTATACCTCAGTATAAAGAAAACAAAAATCCTTATAACTGAGCCAAAAAGCAACATCATGATAAATGAAGAAAATACTGAAGTTGTCAAGGATTTCAGTTTACTTGGATCCACAATTAATGTCCAGGGAAACAGCAGTCAAGAAATCAAACCATGTATTGCCTTGGGCAAATCTGCTACAAAAGACATTTCAAAATGTTAAAAAGAAAAGATACACTTTGAGGACTAAGATACATCTGACACAGCCATAGTACATCTATTCCTCACTTATTAACTATCTCATTTTTTGACATTTCGTATTTATGACAACAGTGAAAAATCTACTACCTATTTTGTGCATTAATGGTGTACGTCTGGCAGTAACAAATGCCAAGGCATGAGGTGACCGTAATGCTGGCAGTGATGGGTCAGGTTATATGTCAACTTGCTAGGCCATGATTCTTAGTGTTTGTAATGATGTAGTCAGCATCTATTTTGTGATCTGATGTGGTCATCCTCCATTTATGCATAACACCAATTTTTGCATAATGACAATGCCAGGCAGTGTTCATCCCAAAAATAACTACCAGAAAACAGTTATTTACCCTAGAAGTGGAAATAAACAACAATACAATATATTCTCAAAAAAAGAAAAAAAAATTACAATAGTTTGAAAGGCCCTTCCCAAATTACCCTCATTATTTCCCAGGCTTCATCTCTTCATACTTTCCAACTAGCTCACAATGGTCCAGCCACACAAACCTCCTTGCTCTTCTGTGTGCCTGACAAACTTCTACCACAAGGCCTTTGCACTTGCAGTTACATCTGCCTGGAATGTTCTACCTCTAAATTTCTGCATGCTTTGCTCCTTTACTTCCTTTATGTTGTTGTTGTTATGTGCTGTCGAGTTTCCAAGGCAGTATTACTACGGAAGTAGATTGCCCCATCTTCCTTTCGATCACTTCCTTTATAGTACTCACATACTGCCTTCTTATGAAGCCCTGTAGGCTCCATTTACCATTTTACCCTGCTACCTACTCCCCACCTCCTTTTCTTACTCTTCTCCTTAGCGTGTATCACTAATCATCTTCCAACACACTATTTTATTTATACCCCCCAGCAGAATGTGCATAGTATAAAATTATAAATTTATAATTGGCATTGGAGGCATTAACAGGTCACCATGAGTGGAAATCCATTCAATGCATGTTGTTAGGTGCCGTCGGGTTGGTTCTGACTTATACGACCCTGTGTACAACACAATGAAATACTGCCCAGTCCTGGGCCACACTCACAGTCCTTGCTATGTTTGAGCCCATTATTGCAGCAACTGTGTCAATCCATCTTGTTCTTCCTCTCTTTCTCTGCCCTCTACTTTACCAAGCATGATGTTGTCCTCCAGAGACTGGTCCCTCCTGATAACATGTCCAAAGAATGTGAGACCAATTCTCACCACCCTCATTTCTAAGAAGCATTCTGCTTGTACTTCTCTCGGGACAGATTTGCTTATTTTTCTGGCAGTCCATAGTATTTTCAGTATTCTTCACCAAAACCATAATTCAAATGTATCAGTTCTTCTTTGGTCCTTTTATCTATTTTTTAAAATTGTGATTTGGGTGAAAAGTTTACAGAAAATTTTTTTTTCCATTCAACAATCAATATGCATTTTGTTTCATGACATTGATTGCAATCCCTACAATTTAACAGCTCTCTTCCCACTTCCTCCCTGTGGCTACCTTTTTCCTGTGTCCTTTCCGATGTATTCCTGCCCTCTGAGCTATCTCCCTATGCAAATACTGTCCTTCTGATATCCCATGGTTGGTTATTCTAAGGGGTTGTTTGATTTTTTTTTTTTTTTTTTGACTGTTGCTTCCATTGGCACTGATTTTGGAACCAGGTAAAATTAAATCCTTGACAACTTCAAATTTTATTGTTTATTATCATATTGCTTATTGGTCCAGTTGTGAAGACTTTTATGTTCAGGTGTAATCCACTGAAGGCTGAAGTCTTTAATCTTCATCAGTAAATACTTCAAGTCCTCTTCATTTTCAATAAGCAAGATTGTGTCATCTGCATGTCACAGGTTGTTAATGAGCCTTCCTCCAATCTTGATGTGGTGTTCTTCTTCATATAGTCCAGCTTCTTGAATTAAATGCTCAGCATACAGATTGAATAAGTATGGTGATAGGATACCAGTCTGATGCACACCTTTCCTGATTTTAAACCAGTTTCCACTTGTTCTGGTCAAATGACTGCCTCCTGATCTATGTACAGGTTCCAAATGAGCACAGTTAAGTGTTCTGTAATTCCTATTCTTCACAATATTATCAATAATTTGTTATGATCTACACAGAAGAATGCTTTTGCATAATCAATAAAACACAGGCAAACATCTTTCTAGTATTCTCTGGTTACAGAGAATACTGTACACAACAGGTGCTTACATAGTCCTTATATAAATCAAAAAACCAAACTCACTGCCATCAAATTGATTCCAACACACAGCAACCCCCATTGGGTGTCCAAGGCTGTAAATCTCTACAGAAGCAGACTGCTCCATTTTTCTTCTGCAGAGCAGCTGGTGCATTGATCTTTGGGTCAGCAGCCAAATGCCTTAACAATTACACCACCAGAGCACCTTAGTCCTTACATAATGACCAAAAACCAAACTCACTGCCCTCAAGTTGGATCTGACTCATAGAGACCTCGCCCTTGGGTTTCTGAGGCAGTATCACTATGGAAGTAGATTGACCAATCTTCCTTCCGAGGAGTGGCTAGTGGGTTTGAACCACCAGCCTTCTGGTTAGCAGTCAAATGCCTTAGGCACTACACCACCAGGTCTCCCTCTTATATGGTAAGTGCTTAAAAATATCTGTTGAATGAATGCATGAAGTGGATTGTCTTTTCGCTGGAAAGCAGAATGCTGCAAGACTGAAAACCAAAAAACCAAAACCAAACCCACTGCCATCGAGTTGATTCCGACTCATAGAGACCCCCTTTGGGTTTCTGAGGTGGTAAATCTTCACAGAAGTAGATTGCCCGGTCTTCCTTCCATGGAGTGGCTGGTGGGTTTGAACCACCAACCTTCTGGTTAGCAGTGAAATGCCTTTGGCACTGCACCACCAGAGCTCTTTAGGCTGAAAACAGTGGGTCCCAAACTTTTTGCAAATTGGAATCACCTGAGGATCTTTAAAAACTGCACCTGCATGGCCCCTGCCTCCAGATTTTGATTTAATTGGTATGGGATGTGACTTGGGCATCAGATTAAAAAAAAAAAAAAATCCCTAGTGATTCTAATGTGCAGCAAAGTTTGAGAATCACCAGCTGAGAGGAACCTCTGATGCAAGCCACGGGGAGTTATGGCAGTAACTGCACTGCTCTTTTTCTCTTGGGACCTGGGTTAGGCAGTTGGAGTCTCTTTGTCACTGTGTCCTTTGCTTCAGGACCTAGCAGGGACTAGATTTCTTAGTTCACAGCTGGGGCCCTGACAACAATAAGTGTGGTAGTTAAGTTTGTGTGTCAACTTGGCTAGAACTGATTGAGTGGCTGGGCAGCTGAATATAGTGATTCCCCATGGTGATATTGGTAGTTAACTCCATGGTGGAATTTATTGGAGCAGCTGAGTAGCAGCTTTGGGTATGTGGTCTGCTTCCTGTATATAAGAAACAGCTTTGGAAATGGTCTCTAGCCTGTGGCACGCTTGGACCCTGCGTGTAGCTGTGCCATTGTTTAGCAGCCTGCCATGCTCTGCCAACCTTGGGACTTACATTGGACTTGAGTTAATGGCCTGCTGTGTGGTTTGGGAACATCGGGACTGTGCCATTTTATTTGTCAACCTCGGACTTGTTAGCCTCAGCAGCCAGTAGCTGCCTGAGTGAAGAGATGCCTCTAGATTCAGTGGGCTGGGAGCAAGAAGCAGAGCTGAAGCCCAAGGTTGAGGGGCTTTCATGGAGCCCCTAGAGCCTGGCACTTGGAACTTGGACTTAAAGCCTCCAAACTGTGAGAGAATAAATGCCTGTTTGTTAAGGCCATCCCATTTGTAGTATATTCTTGTCAGAGCAGCACTAGGTAACCAGAACAAAAAGGTAACACATTTAGCCCCACTCTGCAAATGCTGAGTTCTGACTGCGAAGGAGAGGAGAAGCAACCTCCAATGTGTTAATAAAACTTCAGTCAAACTAGAACTGGAAACACTATGCTTTAAAATGTCCTTCCTGAAAGGGAACTTAGGCGAGCTGGTGGGACCATCTCTCATCCAAAACAGATTCAGGTGACTGGCTCTCCCACCAGAAAGCATGGGCTCTGGGGAAGAAGGCTTTTCAGATAGTTCTTAGGAGGTCCCATGGTCCACTTGTAGCAAAGGGGACATAGAGGTCACCAACCCTTATCTGGTCTTGCAGCTGAGGTCCCTGAGGATCACAAAGATGGTGAATTTACTAGGAACACACAGCAAGCCACTGTGAGAGGCCAGAACACAAAGTGCCCCTTCCCGTGATGACAGCCCTAGAAACAACCCACAGTTCAGCAAGGGGCAAATAATGGGCCCGTTTAATTTTTTTTTTTCCTAGTGAAAGAAGTTAGGCAAGAGAAGAATGAGCAAATTAGGTTATGGATAAAGGAAGTCTGGAGCAAAGACTGAAGGTCAGCAAGTCCCATTGGGCCATGTGAACACAGAAGGAACTAGCCCATGACTCCTTTGTTGAGAAGCAAAAAGTACAGACCACCCCAGGCACCTTCCACCCTTTCCTCTCACTCCTAGGCCTGTAAGCTGAAAGCTGTCATTTCACAGTAGCGCTTGAACAAGGACTTCAGATAACTCCTGAAATGACTCCTGGTTAAGTGCTGCTGTCTACTGTCCCTGAGCACACCATACACATCAGCTGTGCCCCCTTCTCTGAATTGTGAGGGCTGCAGGCTACAGTCCAGCAGCACATTCAAGAAAGCAATGTCTTCTCTCAGACGCCCTCCTCCACTGCGCACAGCCCTCCTGACGCCTGGAATGACGGAGACTTAGCCTCTTCCTAGAGAAAGGCACAGGCGTCCCCATTTACAAACCTGACAAAAAAGGAATCCGAAACCTTTTCCCGTCTTTTCAAATAGAACCCCAGACTCACTGTTCTGGCTCCTGTGAGTTGCTGGAGATAATCCTGAATCGCATTCATGTCAGTAGTGGCTGTGATATCAACAAATTCCAAGAGCCCTTGTTTGAAAGGCAACTGGCTGAGAATCTCTTGGGTCTGTCTGCAGTAGGGGCAGGTGGGCTTGATGAACACGACCACCTTCCCAGGGTGGATTCTGCTGTTGACAAACTGTTGAGCCATGCTGACAAGCTGCTGTCTCTCTAGGACCCCTCAATTGCAGGTATTGCTCGAGTATAAACCAGCAGCTCAGCCAGCTGGCCTCCCTTTAAAGGAACCTCCCTGGAGGAGGAGTTTGCTTGGTAGTGTGCTTGGTTTTAAAGGGACCGCCCCAAAGTCATTTCAGGCTGGTGTGATTCACTAGGTGGATATGCCTGAGAGCGTGCTTGCTGTTTAATTACCAATAGCTCTGCTCAAGGTGTCCATGCTGTTGTCAGATCTGCCCTTTGGCAGAGATTAGAATTAAATCACCCTCTGGAGAAGAGCATAAAGTGCACAGACCACACTCAGGATGGGTCTCTGAAGACAGTGAGCTCAAAATTTTTTTTTTCCCCTTTTGGAAACACAGTTTTTAAAACTGAAGCACAAACAGGATCATTGAAGAAACAAAATGTTTTGAAATCTCTTTAGAGGAAGTGAAATAAAAATTGTGACTATGTGAAGTGGGTGTTGTTGTTTTAATGGAATGTGTTCACAATATTTAGAGATCTGGAGATTTCACCAAAGAATCTGAACCTGCAACTTCTCTGAAAAGACAAGTCTGATAGCAAATATTGGTGAGGTTGTACAACGTAGTTGAGGTGGCTGGTGTCAATGAATTGTACATGTGAAAAAATGTCGAATTGGCAAGTGTTGTATTATATATATTTTTACAATAAAGAAAATAATAGTAATGAAAAATCGGGTCCGGCAATGTTGAGTTTGCATTCTTTAATGGCAGCAGCTGGAGCTGAGTAGCAGTTGTTCCCTTTGGACTGGACAGACAGCCAGCTCCAGTTTGCCTTGGGCCCTACCACCTGGCTGGCCCCTGGCTTTGAGACAGGGCTTCCAAACCTCATTCTGATTCAACACCCTCCTGAGAATTTGCCTTCTCCCCTCAAATATTCTCAATCATAATCTATGTTTTAACAAGATCTGTTAGAATCACCTGGGGATCTTGTTAAACTGTAGATTCCGATTCAGTGTATCTGGGATAGAAATGCAAATTCTCAGCAGAGGGTAGAACCAGAATGAACCAGTCTGAAGCCTTGTTTTAGGATCCCTCTGGTAGAGTAGTGCCTAAGACACTTGACTGCTAACAAGAAGGCTGGCGGTTCAAACCTACCAGCCACTCCTGGGAAGGAAGATGGGGCAATCTACTTCCATAGTGATACTGTCTCGGAAACCCAAGGAGGAGTCGCTATGAGTCTGGTCTGACTTGACAGCACATAACAACAACAACAACAACAACTTCGCTCTATAAGCATTTAAGTTTGTAACCCTTGAATAGCAGTTTTCTATGGAAGCAAATTCTAACATAGCCTTTCTGTTACCATTGTTAATAAGTGGATGTAGTGTAATAACTTAGCTATCACAGTCAATGCAGGTTTTATAGGACACAAGGCAGGGGCTGTAAGACTAGAAAATGTGACGTTCTTCCCCAAGGTGCCCATTTTCCCTAATGGTGGAGCAAAGTCTTCTCTTCTTAGGTGTGATCTTCACCCCTTCTACATGGGGTAAGTCAAATAAAAACAGTTAAGTCAAGGAAAAACCATTTCCTTTAAAAGTGGACCATTTTTTTTTCCTGTGAAATTTTATACTAAAACTGGAGTATCTCCAGGGAGGTGGGGGAGGGCCAGAGCTGGACACTACCATCATCCTATCTGTGGAATCTCAAGCATAATGTGATTTAGAGAAAGAAAGAAAATTGACTCCAGAAGCAGCTTTTTACTGTGACTCTACTTGTTACTAAAATTAAAATAGCAATAGAAGAAACCCAGACTCTAATGGGAGCTCTGTCAGCAAAAAGAATGTGTTAGGGCTGAGAAGCTGGAGACAATTTATTGTGAGGGCTTGAGGCTACTTGACTCAAAACTTTACTTCCCTCCTGAATTTGCCTAAGGCATTTGACTGCTAACCAGAAGCCTGGAGGTTCAAACCCACCAGCCACTCCTCCAAGGAAGACTGGGCAATTTATGTCCATAGAAATACTGCCCCAGAAACCCAAGGAGGGGTCACCATGAGTTGGACCTACTGGATGGCAGTGAGTTTTTTTTTTTTTTGAAATAACAGAATCACTGGTTCTTCTTTTTGTCCCTTCAGCTCAAACTTCTGTAGCCAGTCTCCTCCTACCCAGAAGGCTGCCTCCCTTGTGTTTACATGGCCCATAGCTGGAGGATGGGAAGACTTTGACTATCTTACATTGGACGTATCATCAATAAAGACCAATTGTATTTGGTAAAATAAAGGGTCAGTGAAAAGGAGGGAAACCCTCATGAGATGGATTGATACAATAACTGCAAAAATGGACTCAAACATACCAATTGTAAAGATGGGGCAGGACCAGGCAAAATTTTGTATTGTTATACATAAGGTCAGGAGCTCTGGTAGCATAGTGCCTAAGGCACTTGACTGCTAACCAGAAAGCTGGTGGTTCAAACCCAGCAGCCACTCCTCAGAAGGAAGGTTGGGCGATCTACTTCCATAGTGATATGATACTGCCTCGGAAACCCAACAAGGGGTTGCTATGAGTCGGGTCCAACTTGACAGCACATAACAACAACAGTGACAACATACATAAGGCCACTATGAATCAGAGCCAACTTGACAACAACTGACAACATAACAACAATGTGGTTCGTCAGTACACCTTATCCCTAGCTATTCCTCCAGAGTCTTTTTCTTCTCAGAGTCTGATGTTAGCCTCTTCCCTTTCCTTTGGCTCATTTCCTTCAGTGTATAACTATGTCCAAGCTTTCTCAGGTTAAAAATTATCACAACTATCTTTCATTTCTTTTGATTTGCTTTCGTGCCTATGTCCTCCCCTTAACAGCTGAGCTTCATAAACCTTGCTATTGTTTTTGCTATCTGTACTTTATTCAACTCCCATTCTCTCCTCATCTCACTGCAACCTGACCTCAGTGTCTACCATTCTGCTGAAACTCTTTTGGGTAATATCAGCTATAGCCTCTAAATTGCTAAATCACAAATCTGTCCCAATAGAGCTTAACACAGAAGTCTGTGTGTGGAGTTTTTGATAAAACTGGTGCTGTGAAAGTCCCAAAGGAGATGTTTTGCGTAGTGCGACCTGAAGGTTAGGGATAGTAGTAGTTTGGGTACCTGGGATAAAAGAGGGCTTGTCTGCCCCACAGCTCAGTCCCAGGGATTATTGCCAGAGGTGTTAGGACAGATGACCACAGGCCACAATCTGAAGATGACATTTTCATGAGGCCCGATGAGGGATTATGTGAGACATAGAATATAAACAGATGGCAAAAGGGGGTGTTCTCCCTATTTCTTGGAAATGATGTGGCTTTGGCTCAGGGAAGAATTCAGAGAATAGAACACCTTGCTGCTTTGGCTCCATGAAGGTTTGTAGAAGGTTTCCCATCTCCCATCAGGAGATGGGACCCAGCAGGTATCCCCAGTGGGGGATTTGGAAAGTGTAAAAATGTTATGAGAGGTGTCTGGCCTCCTCTAACTTCACAAGGGGGTGGGAGAAGAGTTCAAGATCAACAGCTCAAAGCTGATTCCTATGAGGTGGAGATCAGACATGCCATTTTACCAATTCTGACACTAACCATCCCTCTCACAGCACTCTCTACTTGTCTACTAAATCTGATAATTCATTTCAATGGCTATACAGAAATCAGAGACAATACTCAAGATTGTGGAGTTTATTAGGGAAGTAACAGGTTACAATTCAGGATCAGGAATGACTCAGGATAGAGTTCTTTGATCAGGACAGCTTCTCAGCGGTACCTGTAGGCACACCTCTCTGGCCCTTGACCTCTTAGCGCCCGAGGCCCCTTGACCTATTCCCTGCTCAGGTATGTGTTACAAAGCTCTTTTAGCTTTGCCAACAAAACCCTAGAGGCACCTCACTCTACCAGTAAGCTTCCTGCCTGAAGGCACTCAGTTTTTTCACTCTGTTGGTCAGCAAGCATGACTTCATGGATAAGTCCCTAAAGGCACCCCACTCTACCAGCAAGCCTTCTGCCCAAATGCTCTCAGTTTTCTCACCCCATGGGCCAGAAAGCTCACCACTCTGCCCTGTGCTGTTCCCTTTGTTCTGCTACCTCCACTGCTGCAATTTCTTTGCCACTGCTTCCCACCATCTCTCACCATCTCTGGTGTCCCAGCTCTCTGTCTTCTGGATAGAGGAGGTTTCGGCACAGGAATCTTGGGTCCAAAGGACATGCTCCACTCCTGGCTTTTCTTTCTGATGGTGGTGAGATCCCTTCACCCAAAACCCAACCCTTCATACCTTTGTTGTTGTTGTTATGTGCCCTCGAGTCGGATCTGACTCATAGCGACCCCTCCTTGGGTTTCCGAGACAGTATCACTAC